GCCTTGATATATGTATATAAACTGAAACAGCAAGACTAGTGCATCATAAATTTAACATTATTATTTAATACAATAAAGTCGTTTCTGCAGTTTTGGGGGAGGTCACCGCCTAATAAATGCCCTTACAGAAAATCGAACTGCTCATTTTAAATCAATACTTTTACTTTTAATACTTAAGTACAACAAATATCAGGTACTTTAAGACTTTTACTCAGGAGACTTTAACTTTTACCAAAGTAATTTTTTGGTAAGATACTTGTACTTTAATACAAGTATCACTTTGTGGTACTTTAAACAGCACTGCTTAGAGATGCTTGTTCATGCYTTCATTTCCTCTCGAGTTGACTACTGTAACGCWCTTTTTRCTSGAAGTTGTCTGCAGGCTGTTCAGAACGCTGCAGCTGGACTGCTCACCAGGTCAAACAGATGCTGTGATTTTACCCCTCTGCTGCGTTCACTCCACTGGCTTCCTGTGGAGTTCAGGATTCAGTTTAAAATTCTTACAATCACTTACAGAGCTTTACATGGTCAGGCTCCCACTTATATATCAGATCTGCTCCACAGGTATGTACCCCCACATGCACTTACATCCAGTGACTCAAATCAGCTTTGCAGTCCTCGATAATGACTAAAGACAAGTTGGGACAGGCCGTTTCCAGTTGTAGCTCGCAAACTTTGGAACTCATTATCGCAATCTCTGTGGACTCGGTGGAGACTTTTAAAAAGCAGCTTAAAACTTACTTTTTAAAACAGGCTTTTAACATGTTTGTATGAGTTTTATGTTGTTTTATTGTTTAAATGTGTTTTATGCATTTTATTGTGGCTATTTGACTGTGAAAGGTGCTATATAAATTACTTTTGCTGAAGAAAAAAACGAGAAGAAAGCCAGAGCAGATTAATAGAAAACACCAGTTATTTATTTAACATCTGAAAATACATCTGAAATCTCACAAAATATACCTTTAATAAGTAAATATGGACTTTATTTAGCACTGTTACGTTTTAGTATCACATCAAAAGGGATAGCTTGCTGAGATGACGTACCCTGTGTTGAAGAGTCCTGGGAAAGTTTGTATTTTTTCTTTTTCTTCTTTTTGTAACACAAACACAGCACCAAATCCACCGGTCTAACAGTCAAACATGTATATGTTTATCACGTCTTTTGTGCTTAAGTGAGTGCTGGGTCAACACTACAGTATTGCTTCTCTTCCTGTGCGACGTTCATCAGTGACCCGAGACCGTTTGTGTCATAATACTAAAAATGAAATGGTTTAGAGATAATTTAGCCTACAGTAAAAACTAATTTGTCATGTTTGTAGAGACAAAATGAAACTGTGGACACTTTAGCACTGTAAACTTAACACTGAGGTATCACTTTCTTTCTTTTTTTTTTTTAGATAGCCCTCATTTTTACAGAATAAACACAGACTTGCCTATCTGACGTACAGCTGTAAACAGAGATGGCTGAAGCTGTTTGAATAAAACAAAAACAAAAATCTGACACCAGGATCAGTATTTTCCTCCCTAATCCAGTTAAATAAACATAAATAAGTACACTTCCTGTGTGTTGAGAGTTGCATAGTGTGCTCAGAAGAGAAAAAAAATGGCGATTCAGATTAAGGTGACTGATGCAACTTTGTGCGATAATCCGAGGTTGACGTCCCGTACGTTTTCACTCCGCAGCGTYAGAAACTCTTCCACCCAGGCCGGAGATGAAGCTTCAGTACACCCAGCTGACCGGAACCCACTGTGGCTCCACGAACAACCGCTCCACCGTGTCCTGCAGCTCGTCGAAGGCTTTGTCCAGATTGTCGTTGACAATAGTCAAGTCAAAGTAGTGGCTGTAGGCCCGGCGGATCCTGGCGCTCTCGTCTACCGTCTTCTTTAAATCGTTCTCCTGGAACAGAGCGGGGGGGTCGCCTCGTTAATACGATGACAGAAACAACCGTTTGGGACTAACGAGCAGTGGGAGCACYGATTATATGCAAACAGGAACATTTCCTCACCGTGAGCAGCTTGGTTGTGAGGCCGGCGTCGACCACAGCTTTGTGCATCTCTCTCAGAGTGTCCAGCTCAGGAGCAGCGATGAAAACCACGAACGGCATGAACTCCGCCGTCTTTAACACTTTCAGGGCCTGGGAATAAACCAGATACAACTGGGCTGGGTATCCATTCAGAYTTCCCAAATCGATTCGATTCACGACTCAGTTTGATTGATTTTTRAATTAGTTAAGAATATCAACCAGTAACACATTCATTTTGATATATGAGACATTCTCAAAGGAACTAATTCTGTAAATAGTAGAAACTAATTCTAACTTGGTGCATTTGTAAAATTATAAACATTAAGGGCAAACTTGTAAATTAGAGTTTAATCTTGAAACAAAACTGTCTCAAGTTTCAAAGGGTTTAAACTAAAAAGGAATTGACAGAGAAAGTGTTGTTGGATACATTCGTTTTTTAAGAAATAAGAATAATTTTCTTGATCACTAAGAAGTGATGGAATAAGGTTACAGGAGAAGAGGTGGGATAATATAAACGTATACTTATACCCACTCTTTTGAGTGTATGAAAACTGTATATTTGTAATGTTTGTTACCTTCTGTTCAATAAAACTTAGAAAGAAAGAAAGAAAGAAAGAAAGAAA